CCTCTCAGGATGAGGATTGAAGCTTGCTTCGCCCTGGCCACGGGTTGTCTCGGTATTGCACTACATCCGAGTACGGCCCCTTCCCCACTCGGGGAAGAACATTTTTTTATTTCAAAAACAAATCAAACTATAAAACAATCTCTAGGTTATTTATTAAACGATTACACACACACACTTAAGTACACGAGGGTTTTCACATGCCGATAGATTATTAACACCATACTCGAATACCACGTGAAATATAATCACGGCTTTCTCATGCATATATATATAACATACATATCGTATGACTTGTAACACTTTATTATTATCCTATGTCGATATTTTACACCTTGTGAGCGTGCTTTCATTCAACTATGAACCGAATCGACTACATATAATTTGACTAACATACCTTCTCAGTCTCTAGATCGCGGCACATGACGTTCAAGACAAGAGGGAAACCCCCGAACTACCACAATCGCGTCTCATCATCATCGCGTATATAAGGTGAGCGGCGCAGACAACAGCATACTTACCTGACGCGAGAGGCACCTTGATCAACTAGGAGGTCCTCTCAGGATGAGGCCCTTTCATTGCACTTCGACTGGGTTGACTCCTGCGATTACCCCTAATGTGGGTAACTCGAGCGTATAATTTCTGGTAGTGGGGACCTGCGTTCGCGCTCGTCCCCTTCAACTTTAAGGAGCGCGAAAGCCGATACGTTCGCAACTCTCGTCTCGCGGTCCATGCCACATGGCCGCCGTGCCCCTCTCCACGACCGCACGAGCGTGCGCGAGAGCACCGCGAGGGTCACGGTGGGCTATCACCACGGACTTGCCGTGCTCGTGCGACGAGTAATCAAGCGCTTGTCGACGTCATGATCGCTCGCAAGCGAGCTCCTTCTCACCGCGTTTTCGTAGCAGAAGTGTTCGGTAGAAATATGTGTGGCAAACGGCGAAGAAGGCATCGCTTCTCGGCCTTTTGGCTAATTGAGAAGAATCCTGGAAGTTTTTGGATTGTTGTTCCTTTCCTGCTATTGAACAAGAAGTTCCTGATCGAAGAACGAAGTTATCTCTTGTCCTGGTTCTGTTGCCTTGGTCTAGTTTTGGTCCTGCTGCCTGGGTCCATACCTTGGTTTTGCCTTGGTCCTCTTGCCCTGGTCCTCTTGCCTTGGTCCTCTTGCCTTGGTCTTTGGCTTGGTTTCTTTTTGTTTGGTTGCCTCCGTGTCATGTTGGTCGTAGGTTGGCGCCTGCGCTGTGAGTGTGTGTTATATACTGTGTGCACCGCAAGTATATTCTGGTTTAATTTATTTATATATAAGTAGAGTGAGTTTTTCTGGTTGTTCCCGATCCAGGGACCCTATAGGGGGTAACTGAAGGGAGGGGGTCTTCAGTTCTTTTCGTATTTTTGATTGGGGGTCGTGCTTGATGATTCCCCGATAGCCTGTTTCTTGATTAAGTCTACTTTAAGTTAACACTGCGGTGCACATTTTTCACTTAATTATTGGTTTGTCCATTAATTAATTCTTTGTTTAAGCTTATTTACATAATTTGAATATACCTCTTTAATTATGATTCCGTTTATAAATCGGACAGCTGATATTCTTTTGTCAGATCATATTGAAGCTCACTATGTAAACGTACGCGAGGTTATTGATGATTTCCGTGGTCAATTTGACAATTTTACGGAAACTTTTGAGGCAATCGTTTTTATGGCGCCTGGCCGTTATCGCATTACGTGTAAAAGCCCGCGAAAGTTAGAAGCGGCCGAAAATCTCGGCTTACTTGTTCGTGGTCACCCTGTTAGTTTTAAGCCGATTTCCACGTTTAAATGGGTTAACATCACCCGTTTATCTTACGGTGTCCCTGATGAGGAAATTACCAAAGCTATGGCAGTTTATGGTCCCATTAAATTAATTCACAACGAGCAATATTCTAGGGTATATACGGGTGTTCGCAATATTTTAATGGAAGTGGTTCATGATATACCGATGCGTGTTCGCATCGCTGGTCATTGGTGCACCGTTCACTACAAAGGTCAAAAACGGCCTTGTTTCTCATGTGGCAAAGAAGGGCACTTCAGCAGCAAGTGTCCTGACAAGCATGTTCAACCGCCTCCTACTTTGCCTGTTATTCCAACTGTGGCTCCTGCTGGTGTTTCTGAAGCTAGTACTTCTGGTGAGGTTGAAACTCGACATGTCCTTAATGATCTGCTGTCGCAAGTCAGTGATGGGTTGGTCAATGGTGTGACATTAAACCAGTCTTCTCTTAATGATGCTTTGGTGGTTGTGGAGCATCCTGCTTCTTTTGCGTCCGTTCTTTCTCGGGCTAATGATAATGCCCCATCTGATGTCGTTCAATCTTCCCAGGATCCGGATATACGTGAAGTGATCGATGATGAAGTCTCTGCGGTGGTGCAGCGTGTTGTCTTGCCTGAGTCTGTTCTCCCTGTGGGTGACGATGCTGATGTTCTTGCTGGTCAGGATCAGTCGGCGGAGTTACCTTTGGAATCTTCCGCAGTGGAGGAACCTCCTCTCGCAGCACATGATGATTTGCCTCTTGGTGACAATGGCTCACCTCCTCCCTCGAAGTTGACCTCCAAACGAGCGTGTCCTCGCAAATCGAAGCCTCGATCACGATCTCGTTCGCCTCTTCGTGATGAAGCACCTCACCGGTTGTCTTCCTCAGCGGATTCGAGCCCTGAAGAATTTGATAATTTTTCTTTTGAGTCCGAGTCTGTTCAATCCCCAGTTTTGTCTCCCTCCATGGGTGATGATGGTGATGGTGGTCATTCTCCTGATAACATTTTTGCATCCCTTACGGCCTCTGATATTTGGACTTCCCCTTTAACTCAGTTCCCACCGAATCTTCCTTGTGATCCGCAAGAAAGAATACATTTTCCTACTGAACCAGCAGCCTCACAAGCTTCTGAAGAATCTTCATTTATTTTGCGTTTTTTTGCGCCTTCTGATTCTCCTCCCAATGGAGAGGAATCGTCGTAAATCGCTTATTTTGATCTTATTCATTTTGTTACCAATTACTTAGTTATTTCTTTTTTACGAACATGGAGAATAATAATTCCATTTCTATATTAACGTTGAACATTCAGGGCTTACGAGCTCTTTCTAATCGTTCTACCTTATTTTCCTGGTTGAATTGCGTGAAAGCGGATGTTATATGCTTACAGGAGACTCATTCTACTTCGGTGGATGAATTTATTAATTGGATACGTTATGAGTCGGATCATGGTAATAACCTTCAGCGTTACTCTGTTGTTTCGTCACCTGGATCTGCAAGAAGCTCGGGTGTAGCTATCCTCTACAAGCCATCACTTAAGTTGGAATATTCTTTTTGCGATGATGAGGGTCGTCTCGTGGTTGCTCATTTGTCTGATGTTGCTAGTGAGTCATCTGTTTTTCAAGACGTAAACATTTATGGTCCCAATCGAAAGCAGCTTGGGGAAGCATTTTTTACATCTATTCTGCCTCAAATGGATCCCTCCCTTCATACCATCTTCTGTGGAGATTTCAATACGGTTGTTGATTCTGACATGGATCGTTTGGGCTGTAATCCTTCCTCATACTGGTCGTATAATTGGCAACAGTCTTTGGCTCTTCTTACTTCTGATCTGGATTTGGTTGATGCGTGGCGCATTTGTCATCCTACTGCTCACGAATATACTTGGCGTCGTCCAAATGGTCTTCAAGCTTCATGTTTGGATATGTTTTGGTTATCTTCATGTCTCATGGAGCATGTACAGCAAGTTGACATCTTACCTTTCTTCCGTTCTGACCATTGCTATGTTTACTTACGTCTAACTATTCCTTCTATGCCTAAACGTGGTCCTGGTACCTGGAAGTTCAATTCTTCTTTGTTAAAAGATGTCAATTATGTTACTCAAATTACTACATTTTGGAACGACTGGAAACAAGAAAAAGATTCTTTTCCTTCTTTGGCTGTTTGGTGGGACGCCGGAAAAAAGCGAATTAAACATATAACGCGGAGTTACTGTTCCAAACGAGCTCGCGCCTGTCGGTTGCGATGCAGATCTTTAGAGCATACATTAATACATCTTGAACGACGGCGAAGTAACGGTGAAGATGTTGATGCGTGGATCACTGAAGCGCGATCTAACCTTGAACTTGAACATTTAAGCATAGCAGACGGCGCAAGAATCCGTGCTAGAGAACAATGGGCAGAAGCTGGCGAAACATCATCTTCTTATTTTTTACACCAAGAAAAGTCCAAGGCTGTAAAGAAACTGTTCACTGGTATAAAGAACGCTCAGGGTGTGGTAGTTCGATCCGTCTCAGCTATCATTCGTGTTTGGTGTATCTTTTATGTTCAACTTTTTACTGCTGCTGTCCTTGTTCCAAGCAATCAAGATTTTTTTATCAATTCTTTAGTCCATTCCTTGTCCCCAGCCGCAGCCAATCTTTGTGATGATATTGTTACAGAAGCAGAATGCTTGAAAGCTCTATCCAAGATGAACTCAAACAAATCTCCTGGTGTGGATGGCTTATCATATAAATTTTACTCTTCTTTTTGGTCTGTCCTTGGAGCTGATCTCGTTGATGTGTACAATGATTGTTTCTCTACTGGCTGTTTATCTTTTTCCCAACGGACAGGTTTAATTACCTTACTTTACAAGAAGGGTGATAAGTTAGACACTAAGAACTGGCGTCCGATTTCCCTGTTATGTACAGATTACAAAATATTGGCCAAGGTCCTGACCAATCGTCTTCTTCTTGTTCTTCCTACCATTGGTGACCTCGAGCAAGCCTGTGGAGTTCCTGGTCGGTTCTCAAGTGAAAATGTCCGCGTTCTGAAAGATATCATTGATTATGCTAACTGTTCCAACATTGGTGCTGCTATTATATCTTTGGACCAAGAGAAAGCTTTTGATCGTGTTGATTGGAATTTCATGTTACGGGTGTTGGAGCAAATGAATTTTGGTTCTTCTTTTCGTTCATGGGTCAAGTTACTGTATTCGAACATTTTTTCTTCTGTCATTGTTAACGACTACATTAGTGATTTGTTTCCTGTTACTCGTGGCGTCCGGCAAGGTTGTCCTTTGTCCCCTCTTCTCTACGTATTAGTCACTGAAACGATTGCTAGTGCTATTCGGAAAGATCCTGCCATCGATGGTTTTTTGCTTCCGAATGGTTTGTGCCCAAAGGTGTTCCAGTACGCTGACGACACAAGTATCTTGGTGCGTTCAGATGCCTCTCTTCGTGCACTTTTTTCTCTTTTTGAACGATACGAGCGTGCCTCTGGTGCTAAATTAAATGTGAAGAAATCACATGGCCTTTTGATTGGTTCTTGGAAAGATCGGACAGATTTACCTGTTCCTTTGAATTGGTCGAATGTCTCTATTACTGTTCTTGGATGTCGGATTGGCAATGAAGTATCTGTGGATTGGGATAGTCTTATCGGCAAGTTTCAAGATCAACTTTGTCTTTGGCAGGGTCGGCATCTTTCCTTCCGTGGTCGTGCGTTAATCGCGAATGTCCTTGGACTTAGTCTTTTCTGGTATCATGCCACTGTTTTTGATGTGCCCACACTAGTTATTTCACGAATTAACAAGTTGCTTTTTCCTTTTGTCTGGGGTAAGAAGAGAGAATGGATGGCGCGTGCCTCAGTTACTCAACCTCTGGCTGCTGGCGGTCTAGGAGTTGTGGACGTATCTAGGAAAGTAACATCCCTCCGTTCTATTTGGCTTCGTCGATTTCTAACTGTTACCAATCCTCACCCTTGGTCCAGTTTCTTTGACTATCATGTATCTTTGGTATTTAACGATCAAGATGTCCTCCAGCTATTGGCTCGTGATACTATTCCTGCATACCGTGTCAGAAAGTTACCACCCTTTTATGCTTCCTTGGTGAGAGCTTGGATTGATGTAAAAGGCACGAAAGTTGGTCCACTTTGGGTCGTTCCTCGTCCACCCACTTGATCCTCTTCCAGTTGCTGAATTCAGTGCTCGTAGTGCATATGCTTTATTATCTAAGTATCAACATACTGATCATCGATCGCTGGCAAAGTTTCGAGATTGGGGCTTCTCTGTCGAGTGGGAACGTGTCTGGGCAAGTCTTCTTTTGTGGAAGTTTGTTCGCTCCGTTCAAGATACCGCGTGGTTATCTTTTCATGGTATCCTCCCAACTGCCGACCGTCTTCTGAGTTTCAAAATGAATGTCAATCCCACCTGTTTCTGTGGTCAACCTGAAACCTTGGTCCACCTTTTTACTTCCTGTCCTTTGGTTCGTGATCTTTTAGTGTGGTTTACGCTACAACTCAATCGATATGATCCCTTGGTCATTCTTACTGATGGTGACATTCTTTTTGGTTTTTCTTCTGCGTCACGTATTCCATTGGTCTTCTCTGCGTTATTGGGAATTCTTCGGCATCAAGTGTGGTTGGCACGTAACAAGCACCGTTTTGAGAACATTGCTCCGTGTTCACAAGATTCTCTACGTAAAGCTAAGTCCACCTTTCGCTTTATGGTTCGTTTGCAGAAACGTCACAATCCAGTTGGTCAGTTTACACATGAATGGTTAGCTGATGGTATTGTTGGGTCCATTACAG